TTTCTAAAGAAGGGTCTAGGCCTGAAACATCAGCTTTCCTGCTCCTCTGATGCTGCTTGGCCTGCTGTGTTCATCCAGCTCTATACCTTGTTATCTCAGATTCTCCAGCATCTGCAGTTCCTACTATCTCTGCAGGTTTTATGTATTTCACTTTAAACCAAGAATTCCCCCAAGAAAATAACAATGTGTTTTGTGAAACCATATGCACCCAGTGAACAGTGACTTCGTTCATTTCTCTGTTATATTAATTGAATTAATATATAATTTCGAATCAGCTAATTGTTTCCCAGGAGCCTTACTTAAGGTATAATAATACTTAGTGTTCAGACATTTGCAAACATACTCAAAACTTCTGACAGAAATGCATGCAGTACCACAGGGAATGATCTTTGCAATTTATTATCCTGTGATTGCAGTGATCGGGATACCAGGTAACGCACTACAGTCATTAAATGCGGCAGAAAGGATAGTTTGGCTCCAAAAATTATCCCAAAATAACAGAAACGTTTCTCCACTCTAGACCTTTCTTAATTCCTTTGCAATTGTTTTTTTTTTCTCTCATTACTACGAAAAATATTGTGCTTTAACAGATAGATTCTACCAAATTACAATGTTGTTTATGTACTTCAACAACATCAATACAAGTGTTAGAATTTCTTCAATTCACTGAGATTTCTGTATTGATGCTAACACGGTATGATTTTGCTCATTTAACGCTATAATTTTCCTCTTCCAATGGTAAATTTCCTTCCTATTAATCTATATAACAAATCCAATTTTCTGTGACAGATATCATTTGCTTGTTTTACTTATAGAACTAATCGATCCAAGGTACTGTTAACATCTCACAATGTTGATGTAATTCTGTTGTATTATTGATAAAGCAACTGTGGATGAATTTTCTTGCTGTTATCCCCATGCAAATAGAATCTTAGAGTGTTCTTGAAAACGATACTACTGTAAACATGTTGCTATGTTGTGGCTTTGGCATTGTACCGCTATTGCATTTATCACACTATCATTACAGAGCAAATTAGGATTTGCATTTTAATCGCTACTATTACAGTGGGCATGCTATCAAATGGTGATGATCGTTTGCACATTGGTTTATTAAGCATTTAACAATAATGGAATAAATCCTATAAATTATTGACTGATTGAAAAGTTCTAACTGCCAAGTATTTTCCAAATTACCTCAATGAATGAATTTATTGATGGGGTATTCTTTAAAGCGAGTGTGTTTCAGTCTCAGATTCAATGCTTTAGCTCTGCCCTTGTCTTCAAGGTTGATTGCTGTTACTTCTAAATTGAAGAGAGACTTCTTTTTACTCCTATCACCCTACAATACCTCCAATTGTTACAGACTTCAATACTTCATTTCCAAATTAAATGACACACCAGAACTAATGTTGTCCTCAAATATAAGGTAAATTATTCTCATTTCAAATATCTGATAAAGAAATGCATTTGTTTGATTTGATAGACGTTGTAGTGCAACATAGGAGAAAGTACAGAATTCTGGGGGAGTATTTCTCCAAGTGAGTTCTCATCATTCGCCTGTTTCCTCAATTCAGTTTGACATCCTAAATTTCAGTTAATTGTCTTATGAAAAGCTCGGTATTGCCATTAAACCTTTACACAATCCTTGCAATAACATTGGTGAAATGTTAAATTTCTACCAATTTCCCTAGGATCAAGTATAGTCTTGGTTTTGCTTTGCTCAAGAGGACTTGATTTTTCCCATACTAACTGACATAAATTGATTGAAACGATCCACTTCAGGTACTCAGTGAGGTGATAAATATTGTGTCAGTTACTCAGAGTTATTGCCATTATCCTTGGTTTTTATATGCCTTAATGGATTCTGTATTTCTTTGTTGATACTAATCTTGTTTTTGTCTGATTTAATGCTTTCCTGTTGGCTTTGATTTGTTTTCAAATTCAGTTTATCCTTTGCTACTTCCGTTTAGGCTGTTTTAAATTATTGTACAATTAACTTGTCTTATTTACTGATCTAGATGATGACGATTGTAAACATAGTCAATAATTCTTCCAGGGATAATATCCAAATTCAAGGAATGTCCCAACGTGATAAACTTTACTCAGATTTTTGTGAAGCGTTTGGGTGGGTCGGAGGCAAGTGAGAAATGTTTCAAATTTCCCATTTTTTTCTCTCTTTCTCGTTGTTATTTTCATGTAGCTAACTTGGCAGTGATTGTGGTTCTGTCTCGAAGAAGATGTGGTCTTTCTGTTTGCGTAATTTATTACCTGGTGTCCATGGCAGTGACAGATCTCCTGGTTATAATCACGGTCGTCATATTAAACCGGATTTCAGGGACATATTTCACTTCCAGTTTCCTGTCCATTACACCAGTTTGCAGTTTTCGTTCTGCTTTATATTTTGCAGCAATATCCAGTTCCGTCTGGTTAACAGTTGCTTTCACCTTTGACCGATTTGTGGCTATTTCCTGTCATGAGCTGAAAAACAAATACTGCAACGAGAAGATGGCTGCGCTGATTATAGGAATTGTGTCTGTACTGAGCTGCTTAAAAAATATCTTTATATATTTTATATATGAGCCTGTCTACATAATTAACAATATACCATGGTTCTGTAGCATAAAAGTAATCTATTATACATCACCTGCATGGGCCGCTTATGACTGGATTTGGATCATTTTTACTCCATGGCTCCCATTTGTTCTGATTTTGCTGCTTAATGTTCTGACAGTCAGGAACATTCTAGTGGCAAATAAAGCCCGGAAAAGACTCCAGACCCAGCGTAGTGGAGAGAATCATAGTGACCAAGAGATGGAGAAGCGGAAAAAGTCCATTGTTTTACTGTTTTCCATCTCAGGCAGTTTCATTCTATCATATTTGTTGCTTTTTGTGATGAGCTTCTACATCCGAATTGGAAATGTTACTTACTCCTCAAGTTATGATTTCACTAATTCATCATTTGCTCTACAGCAAAGTGGATATATGCTTCAGGTTTTGTGTTCCTGCATCAACCCATTCATTTACGCAGGAACACAGAGTTTATTCAGAGCTGAAATAAAGAAAGCATTGACATATCTGTTAAACCCATTAGTTAAACTATTTAAAATGTGAAAATATAAAAATGCTATTGTGATCGAAACATCCACTACATTTTTTTTTGTTTTTGTTCATGTTACTCACAATCTTACTGCTAACATTGAACATCTTTAACTACTTACTCAGTCTGAGAATCTAACCAAATAGGTCACTTGACTGGACTCACGTTTCTGCACGTCAAAGTCTGCACGTTTCTGTCATCCTTGTGTTGAAGGCCAATATAGAATTTGAATCAACATCTGACTTTGGCCTTTATGTAAACTATTTCATTAGATATGAACATTTGTACTAAGTACCAGATTCAGTCGTCATCTCTAATTATGTCTACCAGGCCTGAAGCCTGGATATCTCTGCATCCTGAATTATCTTCTCCCTTGTCCAGACATGTACAAACATTGGACTTGAAGCTGTGCCAGATATTCATGCAAGGACTGCTTCCAAATCTGCATCAGCATATTTTACTTGGATGATAGTGGTCTTATTAATCTGACCTTAAGCTTCGCCTGTTTGTCCATGGAACATGAACAGTTGCTCAATCGCAGCCTCTCTCAGATGGTCCAGTGTGTGCTTGTCGTTTGCTAAGGAGTTTCAACGAAGCTACTGTATGAATTAAAATGTATGACTCTTAATCCCAAACACATATTCACATTGGGATGCAGACAGGGCAAAGAAAACCTGTTGTGATATTATAGATGGGAAACTAATGAATCAGAAAGGAAAGACTAACGCACCATTTCTGTAGGTTAAGTGGTGAATTCAGAGGACAAAAATGCGTTGCCTTCTTACTGTTCCTTTAAATTCCTGTTAATGAGATCTGTTTCCACATATTTGCAGAATAATTGACCGTTTTCAGACAGGATTCCATATTCAGCTGAAGAAGCGTTTGGAGTCCTGATATTTGAAGTTTTGTCTGGTTTCTGAATACTAATTCTTTTATATGATATGCATGATTGTTTACAAAGTGCAGCTTACAAACATTACATGACACCAGTTAGTAGAAATGGCACAGAATTGCATGGTCAACGTACTCTCAAAGACATATGAAATACTGTCCCTCGCTATAAAAGATATTTGGGAGGATAAAGCTGATAAACCAGCCAAACATGGACATCAGTGAAAATCACATCTAGTCAAGGATAGCTGATGTAGCGATAAAATATTGAACATGATTAAAATATGTTCATTTGTAGTGACAGAGATGATAAAGGATTACAGAAATAAAGCAGAGTAACAGATGAACATACAACAACATCATAGTACTACTAAACCATGGAATAACAGAATCCCTACAAGTGCAGAAGCAGGCCATTTGGCCCATCGAGTCCACACTGGCTCTTCGAAGTGCATCCCATTCGCATCTACCCCAACTCCTCCTCATTCCTAAATGCTTGCATTTCCCATGGCTAATTCACATGGCCTGCACAGTGTGAGTTAGTTAGCATGGCCAATCCACCTAACCTGCATATCGTTTGATTGTGGGAGGAAATCGGAGCACCCAGGGAAAACCCACACAGACATGGGGAGAATGTGCAAACTCCACGCAGGCAGTCGCCCGAGGATGGAGTCGCACCCTGGTCCCTGGCCCTGTGAGGCAGCAGGGCTAACCACTGAGCCACAATGACTCCCAGAATATCTTGTAGTAAACATACCACAGAACTAATAATAAAAAAAAATCTGTCAATGAATGGTCAGAAATATTCATCTCTAAAGTAGAGTTAGTTTCCAAGTTCAAAATCTCCTGTTGGGTCCTGCATCTGGAAGGAATTAGAAGCATTGATTTCAGATTTTAAAAAGTTTAAAATTGAGGAAATAGCTAGGGAGTGATATGATGTTACCGCACAATTGCAGTTGCATGGTGACAACACACTCACAAACCTGGAGCACCTGTGTCTGTGCAAGCCATTAAATCTCTTAAGAACATAGAAAATAAGAGGAGCACTGTCTATTCAGCCTGCCAACGCTGCACCACGATTTTTTGGTCATGGTTGATCATTTCCTCAATTCCATTTGTCCACCTTCTTGTAGAGGAAGTATGCTCCCTCTGCTATCCGCAGAAGTGAATTAATCGCAACTTAACGGCGTAGTTCCCACACGGTACTCAGTATGGAACCAACCTCGAAATGAATATGACAGTATTTTGCACCTCCCGAGAAAAGATGAAAGAGAAGAATAAAACGATTGCTTTTCTATGACAACTGAAAATTAATTTTGAACACAACCATTCACCCATAGTCTTTTTTTTAATAGATTCTAATGAGAATTTACTGATCCGGTTCCTGCTCATAAGCCAATATTAATTCCAAATTCATACCATCACCATATTCCTGTTGATCTGGAATACCATTAAACTATTGCCATTGTCCCACACTCTTAAGTTAACTCTGCCTACACGACAAATCATGCGCACATTCAATGCATGTAGAGATTTAAAATGTGGAGTGACGTACACCAGCTCCTTATTCACATTTGTGTATGCACTTGTCAACGTTAATGGATGTTTCAACAAATTATGAATTTGCTCCCCGAATTTACTCTGTGTCACTGCATAAATAAAAACGTTTGTGTATTAGTTCAATTACTGAAATGCTCTCTCACAAAATAAATCAAGTATCACTGAACCCCTTGATGCTATAACCGCTTAAAGATCACTTGACAAAGAAATGAGTGCTGTAAGTCATCCACAACAAAATGGAACTACCCAACATGGATTCAAGTTCTCCACCTTGGGTTCTCTGATTCCCATCATTTTTCTGCACCTCGAGTCTCCTGCAGGGATTTACTTGCCACCAGAATGTTCCTGGCAGTCAGAGCATTAAGGTAAAGGATCAGAAAAAAAAAATAGAAGACAAGGGTTAGAATGCGACTGGTCCACTGGAATGTTGTCTATATTTGTGAAGTGAAACGAATCTCTTTCAGTCCGTAAAGCCAGGGGATATTGTCAGTTATGTAGATGGGCTCATGCCAAGAGCAATCACCATTTCTGTCAGCAATGGGTTGCTTCTTTCTGTACAATATTTTGCTTTGAGCTTTTGATGGCAAATGGCCTCAAATCGATTGGATGTTAAAGCAATTGTTAAACGGACTAAAGATCTCTGGCTGCATAAATCAATGTAATGTTCAGACAGCAGTTTGTAGTAGTGGAAAGGAAGCCATTTGGAAAATTAACATCAGGGATCTCCTTCAAGAGCACGGCTGTCATAATGACCACTGACCCATCACCATAACCCCTTACCTGTATCCATCTATCACCTATCTACCTTAACCCCAGCCCCGCCCCCTCCCTCTATTTATTTCTGGGTTCCCCTCCCCTTCCTCAGTCCTGACGAAGGGTATGGGCCTGAAACGTTTCCTGCTCCTCTGATGCTGCCTAACCTGCTGTGTTTGTCTAGTTCCACGTTTATTGACCCTGGCTTCCAGCATCTACAGTCCTTACTGTCTCCATCCATTCTTTTTTTTCTCTTTTGATTATGTGGATTTGTCTATCTTTAATCTTTTTTTAAAAAAAAAGTCTTTTAAAACTTAGTCAGATGGGAATGGAGGAGGCAACTGCTGGAGTGGAGTGGCGAGTCCTGGACTGAAGGCCGTTGCAGGGAGAAGTCCTTTCCAGATTGGACATGAGGCTTCCAGTTTTGAAGCCTGGCATCGTCTGTAGGCTTGGCCCTTTGCAGGCTGGAGGCTAGGAGCTGGCGCGGACTGGAGTGGAAGGACTGAAAATTGAGGACTTTTTAAAGTTTTCCTTTTTATTCTTATGCTGGACGTTTTATTTATGTTTTTCTACATTATACCAAATAGTTACGTATTTGTACTTAGGTACCTTTTTATCTAAGATGGCACCATAAGTGGCAACATTGTAAACTTTTCACTACCCTCATTCGAATGTGCGTGACAATAAAACTAATTCGATGTAATTCATTCCTTTAGATATGGGTTAGCAGAGAACGTATAACACATTGGAAAGTGTTACCTGTAAGAGCGACATTGCAGTAAATGGCATGCAGAAAACCTCGAGGTGGACTATGAATATTCTGAGAAGTAATAATCGCTTTTTGGAATTCCATATTTGCTGTTTTTGACACTGAAATGATCCTGATATTATAATTGACGATGGCTGTCATGACGGGTTCTAGTTTGCATTTGAACAATGGAAATGAAACGATATGTTGATTACTATTTACTTCCTTTTTGGCGCGTGAAGAACAGCGATACGTTGTTCAAATTCAAAACAAACTGCAAAGATATAATGGCCTGGAAACACTCTAGCTGAGACCATTGGTCACAACCCCCAAGTAGCTTGTCATATGGACTGAACAGGCTAAATCCTGGAACACATACACATGACATTGTTAACGAATCAATTTGAAGTGCAGGATAACCAATTTCAGCTCAGCCTCGCCAATGTTCATACAGCAGATGTATGAGATCATGACGGCATTGGTCAGAATGATCACTGCATATTCGATGGAGAATAAGTCAGAATTCACAGCCCAATGTGGAGCAGCCTAAGTGTGGCACCTCCGCCTGTCTCAAGGGAGAGAATGAAGACAGACACTGAAGCTGAATACTGGATTGCGTTGATTAGCTCTGCAGTACAAGGTACAGATCACAAGATTTGGGAAAGAGGAGCATTTATAACTCTTCTTCCTAGGTGTACTTAAGTCTCATGCTGTCTTAATTGTCATGAAATTGGCAAGATGGAAATAACCTAGGAATATTATATCAAAACAAAAGTGAAGAAGTGTCCTTTACGCATGCCTTCCAAATTAGGCTACTCAGAAAGAGATCTCCAATGTGATTCTATTACACCTATTCATCAGTAAACTGCTCAACAGTTTGGAGTTTTCTACTACTGAGTCTTCCACTATCAATATCCTGTGGTTACCATTGATTTAAGTGCATCAGCTGTATGGGAATATTTTCTAACCAACACGTTCAGATATATTATTATGCCCTTCAAGAGCAGATGGGCATTGAATAGAGACCTCCTGGTTTGGAGGTAGGGACTCTACAACTGCGTC